ATAGCGACTGAGCCTGCGATGTCGCCATCACTTTTTGTTCTTCGGTCAATATCAATTGTCATGAGTCCTTATAGCCACATATCGACCTACACTGAAGTCCATAATTGTATATAATCATTTTTCTTCTTTCGTTGCGTGTATCATGTAAGTATGGTTGGAAGAATTTTATACATTGTAAGTTAAATTGACGTTTTGGTCAATTTTATTTTAAAAACTATTTAAAAAATTTTTATACTAGATCTACATGATCTATTCGAAATGTTTGTCTTGCCAAAAAAGGACGGATAATCCGTCGACAATTCAGTAGTACGAGAAACGTCACTTAGCACTTTACTTAGTGATAGGTTGTATTTGCTGACAAGATCGTTGAATTAAAAGCGAGCAAAAAAATCGAAATTAGAACGAATAATTGATTCATCGTATATTGTAAAATTACCTCTCGACAATTTTTCAATCATATGGAGTAAGACCACGACTTGTCGGTGGAGAGCTGCAAATCTTGCTCTATACTCGGCACTCAGTGCTACTAGAGAAACACCGACATCTTACGAACGAACGTAACTCGCCCTAACTTCCCGTATCTTGATAGTTTTCTCGGGACCAGTGATTGTACCCATATAAAGTTTAAAATCGGAAGAAATAAGTTTATATGTAAATTAGAACGGATAGTGTTTTAACAACTTTATATTTGAAAATTATTCATGTCAAAATTTTTGTAATCACTAACAATATTTTTAAAAAGCGAACAAATAGAAGAAAATACACCATAGCACTTTAGACGGATTAGGAAACACGTTTGTTATGCGTCAGTGATTAAACGTATACAAACTACTCGTAGTGTGCGCCTTGTTCATATGGAGAAAGGTTACTTTTTACAGGTTGAAGAAAAAAATCCGTGCAATCAAGTAAATATGTAGTGCGCTTTATAAAGTGTCTTGTATTGAGATCTAAAGAGAGAGAGAGAGAGAGAGAGAGAGAGAGAGAGATTCTTTTATAAATTTATTAAAATATCACTTCAAAGAAATAAACGAGCATTCATGGTACACAGTATCTTCTTAGATGATGTATTAAATGGCGATCATAACTTAATCATCTTGAGCTGCTTTTATTTGAAATATGTAACAGGCATGAAGCAAGCAATATCAGTTGGGGGGGGGGGGGGGGCACAACCAAACTTTTTTATTTTAGAGTCACAACAAAACAATTATTTGGGAAGCCAAAATGAAAGATTTTTTTTATTGAGGTGGCACAAGTATACAGTAGCTAAGTTTTCTAAGATATTACATTAATCGTCAAAATATAAAATTAGAAGATACACTTTATACTTTTGACCGCACAGAGTTATTTTGACCGAAGGTCCAATATACACTTAAAAACGTTTAACTATAACCGAAATTATAACTCGCCTCATTTGTAAGGAAAAATATATATTTACCGTCCTGTTGTAACAGAAAAAAAATTATTCTAGAATACCGACAAAAAGATACCGGACTTTTAAAAGTGTGAATAATATGAAAACGTAGTTGTCACTTAGTTGTCATGGCATCCTTCAAAAGTATGTGCACACATATGCTTATCACAAGTGCTTGTAGACCAAACAACTTCCCCACCCCAATCCCCAATATACATACCGTGTCGCAAGATATTCATATTTGTCTTATTTCATAAATTAACCGTCTAGTACATATTTAAATTGTACAATGTATTTCATATGAAAAATCCAAAAAGTACATAGAATTCACTTTTTATCCAAAAAAAAAATCGTGCCCGTAGTATCTTAAATCACCTCTGACTTTTTAACTGCAGGTATCAATTTTGTATGTTGTAAATTGTAAAATTTATGTTATAAATGAAAGAAAGCAAAAAAAATGTCTTTGGACCCGGATTTATATATATTCCAGGGGTTGGGTGAGGGGGTGGGGTGGGCATCGGTCCTATGATGGTTTGCTAATATTGAACTAGCTTGCTCTTATATATATATCTTAAATTATGTCAAAAACACAATTCACTAAACTTCCATTTTTGTGCCGACCTGTCCCCCTCCCCGAAAGTTGGGGATATTAATTTCGGTCTGCTCGTTCGTCTTATAATTCTGTTAAGTAAGTCTGTTACACTTTTGTTTTGAGATGTTTTGGGTCTGGGACGTTAAAGGGGGGGGGGGTCCAGTCCACTTGCACCCGTGAAAATTTTATAAAGATTTTTAAGATACATGTTTGTAAGAAGAAGCTTTATCAACCGACAAATTACGAACGGGCATCCGCCTGGATTTATGATACGGCTATAATACCTGTGTATTAAGGCCGTATTAATGTTATTTTCGCAGCATATAGTACAAGATTTCTTTTACGTTTTGGGGTTCTTGCAATTTAATTTTAGACCATAACTCCTTTTTGTCCCGACCGCCCTTCGTAATGTACCCCCTCCCCCTTTCGACCCCTACTAGAGCCGAACATACTATTATTTTTTATTTCATGCCATAGAATGACATTTTTAAAATTTTTCTTTCATTTCCCTTTTCGAACCCCTTTGCCCGTTTAAATGTCCATTGAAATGTATTGTAGCGTCATGGTAGCGACTACGACAAGACGTGTATTTGAGGCATCTTGAGGGGATTTTTTCTATCGAAATCCCAATAAGATTGAAGAATTCAGTAATCCAACCGTGAAAACAATAGACTACAATGACTGATCCCCGTTTTTGGTTACGTTCGTTCGTAAGATGTCGGTGTTTCTCTATTAAGCATTGAGGAATCTGAAACGGGACGGCACCTAAATGTTTCTATATAAAAGAAAAAAAGATCTGCTGAAATAAAAGGAAAAGTGATGTCTCCAAAACAGCTAATATGATGTATTACCTGAAAAGAAATATATTCTTTATAATATACTGTACTGCAACGATTGACATAAGACATAACGATGCCTTGAATGAGGAATTACTTTATATTAGAATATATTAATAAGAGTGTTATTTTTGAAAAGCGATACGAAAGATAATACATCAATTGTACTTCTTTGAAATTGTAAACTCCTAAGGGATGAGGTGACATAACTGCTATCTGGGGACCCTTTTTCTACGACGAAGTATATTTAATCTACAACGATGTTTGTAGTTTTCAAACATGAGTTGATAAATACGACGCCTTTTGAATAGTTTCAATAGTTCAGACACATTTTAATTATAAGGAATACTGCATTATCGTTGATTTTTTAAACCCCATCGCAGCTAAATTTGGCCAGGTTTGTGAGAATAATTTCTTTTATGGCAAGAGAATGGGCGGGTCTTAGTTCAATAGAGGGATATATGCGTGTCCGAGAAGATCTTACATGGCTATTGTAATTATTTCGCACATAGTCATTGTCCAATCCGATGACAGAACAACAAAACATGCTGATTTACTACGTTTACAGTTTATCACAGACACGTGGTTTAAGTCAATTTACTTTATAGTTTTCTACATTTCAAACGTTTATAATGATCAGCCAAGGCTGTTTATACTTTATGAATACATGAAACTTGTATTCACTGATACTCGGAACTACGTGTAGACCTAGCGAATTGATCACTAAACACGATACAAAACATTAAACTAATGTACATTTATCAATTGTGTAAAACTGTATATAAATTTTACTGTGATCTTGGTAATTGTTTATATGTAGATCCGTGTCTAATTTGTGCCTCAAATGCATTAAACCGTTATCGGAAAGCAGTAAAATTCCAAGCATGGTATTTTTGTGGTACTCTCTGGTAACAAACTTCATTTAGCTGATTGGTCAGTCAGAAAGTATTGCAAGTGCATCGATTAGCATATTAATTTATTCTTACGTCAGAGAAAAGATTATTTTGTCGGTCTGTTCATATTGGAAAAAGCCAGCTAGATTTTACCAATTTTTTAAAAACAACATGTGAGCACAGGTAGGTACAATTTTCTCCTTTCACATATAGGTAGATATCGATAAGATACAATGACCAGCCAAAGGAGAAAAATGTACCTACTTGCGCTCATATATTTTAAGAGCTTCAAAGAGTGGGACAGGGTCAAAATTCAATGGAATTGGAGGTAAACATGATACCCCTACCCAAATAAAAGATTTATATCTTTCAAATCACGTTTCTATTTTTGTAAAAAATGCTATTTCATATAAGTATTCATATCAGTGATTAGCTACATACAAAAATTTGAGTAAATTCGGACATTTAATATTTAATCAATTTACCAATCGCGAGGGCCGCAAGTCATCTGATCCTTTATTCTTTCAGTAGATTGATTGATTGATTGTATACTGTTTAACGTCCCTCTCCAGAATATTTCACTGATATGGAGACGTCACCATTGCCGGTGAAGGGCTGCAAATTTTGACCTATGCTCGGCACTCACGGCGGCCTTTGAGCAGGGAAGGATCTTTATCGTGCCACACCTGCTGTGATACGGGGCCTCGGTTTATACGGTCTCATTCGAAGGACCGCCCCATTTAGTCGCCCTTTACGACAAGCAAGGGGTACTGAGGACCAATTCTAACCCGGATCCCCACGGGACTCTTTCAGTAGAAAAGAAAAAACTAAAAAAAAATTCTCTTTCAGTAGAAAAGAAACAACTGAATTTTTTCTCTTAGTCTCAATGAAAAAGTCATGAGAGAAACTTGTGGATTGTTCCCATAATTTTTAAATTCTTTATCGGCAATCTCTGTAAAAGTACTTTAACAAATATAGCCCTTCATCATTCGGCCAATTCATAATATATCGACTTCACAGAAAGGCATTTAGCCTCGCTCTTCCTACTTGATCGATATGATTTTCGTTGAATTTAATCCATATATATATATCTATGGGTTGACCTCGTGAAAGGGCTAAATTTGTACAATTTATCTGGAGTCATAAAAATAAATGTTATTTTAATACTTATCTGTTTATTTTATATTATCAGATACAGATACAGAAACGGATAACATTCCCCCTGTTAAAACATATACTGACATAAAATTAATTGTATGTTCAGAAAAATGAGCAAGAGAGTAGCAGCATTAGTTTTTGACAATGGAACTGCGATGTTCAAAGCTGGATTTGCCGGAGAAGATATCCCCAAAGCTGTGTTTCCCTGTACGGTTGGATACCCCAAAAATGAGGTAAGAAAACAGTTCATGCAGTCACTCGGAGTTGAAAGCGTCCACGTATGATTGACGATAATAATTCCAATTCTATTCATCTTTTTTAATTTTTTTTTTTCATTTCCAACGACGGAATAGATTTTTTTTGAATCTTTAAAATTCTCAAATAACCGTAAATATAAAAGTAATATTTCCGCTTTGTCATTTATGACTGGTAATAAAACAAATATTATATATCAAGATAACAGAAGAAGCTAAAAGGAGACCTATACCATGATAACGGGAAAACAATACTAATTGCCCAAATTGTACAAAAAAGACTATAGATAACTATAGTTTATTAAAGTTAACTTACTTAACTATAATGAAGACTTTGACACTATGAAAACTTTGATTTACTATAGTGAACACTTTGTTAATTAAAGTGAACACTTAAACTATAGTGAAACCTTTGGCACTATAGTGATAACTATAAAAACTTTGATTAACCATGATGATCACTATGGAAACTCTTATCAACTATGGAAAAACTTTGATTTACTTTAGTGATAACTATAGTGATACTTTCATATTATAGTGATCACTTTGAAAACTTTGATTTACTAAAGTGAACACTTTAATGACATTTTAGTGAAAATTTTGATTTAATAAAGTGATAACTTTGACACTTTGATTTTACTATAGTTTACAATAGTGAACTTTAGTTAACTACGAGGGTCATTCAAAAAGTTCGTAGACTTTTGTCCAAACTTTTTTATTTAACGTCATATTATATCCAAATTTGGTACAAATATTTTAACAACAGATTCAAATAATTTGAGTGAAAAAATTGGAATGTATCCTCATATTTATTAAAATTACCAGGGATTAAGAACAGCAAAAATGGGGTCACGGAGCACCGTCAAAATTGAGTATTTTTCTAATTTTCATTTTATAGTATTTACAGCTATACCTCTTATAAATGGAGCTGAAACGAAATAAAATTTACATGTTTAAATAAAGCATTGTTCCATTAATTAAAATGAAATCAGGTTATGTAATATCTCATTCCATTTAAAAGATATCAGCTTCTAAATACATATGGTCTTGATTAAAAAAGGCAAAAAACCATGACGTTGAAGGACGTCACGGAGCAGCAAGTAGCAATAAAATTAGACTTTACATTCGGGAAACTTTTTCTACAAGCTTAAAAAATCCTTATAAATCAGGATCTGTATGAAAAAAAATCTGTGTATTTGTATTAAGTTGAAAAAACAATTTTTGAGTGGTAGCGAGTTTGAATCGGACAATGGATTGTCTGCAAAGAAACAGATTAAAGTTTAAAATATTGTCAAAAGAGTTAGGAACGTCATTGAACGTGATGTTTGCTTCAATGTTGCAGAAATAATAAAGGTGCATGGTAAATCAAAGAATTTGAAAACAATAACATTATAATTCAAGCTATATTTGTAGAATTGTTAGAAAACCAGTTGTTGAGTATTGTGGACATGTGTATTTGAATGGAAAAGACGCAACAAACCGTGTTTAAATAACAAAAATGTGTATACTTTTGACAAACTTTCTCAGGGTTGTTTTTGATGTTACAATATTGGTTAACCGTGCTGCGCGGTAACAAAACATGTTGCTTTTAATTTTGGCTAACGTGAGTTCTGTTTAATCAAATGGAATGAAACTTCATACTTCGACAAAATAAATGTTTATGTTTACGAAAATGTGTTGTTCTAAAATCTTGTAATAATCATATGACGATAAGAAGCATTGTCTACGTATTTTTTGAATGACCCTCGTATAGTATTTTTTTGTTAGGATGCTCCTCTAAAAATTATTGAATATGATAAAGTGAACTCCCCTGTAATACAGCTTGACAAAAACTTAATACTATAAAATACAAAAGTTAAAAATTCCCTCTGAACTATACAAAAACTATTTTAATACCACGCTTCGAAGGATAGGGGGATATACTGTTTTACCCTTGTGTGTTTGTCTTGCTGTGTGCCTGTACGTAACACAGTTTTCTCAGCAACTACTCATCACAGATGCTTGAATTTTTAATACAGTCTTTTCTGAAGCATGCTATATGATGGGATTCATTTTTGATTATATCCTCTGTCAACTCTTTGTTTATTCGTGTGCCTGTACTTTTCATACATAACAATTTTTTTTAACAAGTTTTCTCAGCAACTTCTCTTTACAGATGCTTAAATTTTAAAACAAACTTTTCTGAGGCATGGCTTTAGTGGAATTCATTTTAGTTTAAATTCGATGTCAAATTTCTGTCCATTCGTGCATCTTGTGTTGCATTTTTGTCAGCTCATTTAAGGTGTTTGAAAATTTAGCACATTATCTGTTTGTTTGTGGGATTTATTTTTTTTATGAATATGATGTCAACTTCCTACGCAGGGGTAAGAAGGAAACATTCATAATATTTCAACTGGAAAAAAACAGTGATACATTATGATGTAATAGTACATGTTGGCAAGATGACGTCAACTGTCGTATGAACTGATTTGTTCAAATGCAATTTCTACACAGTGGAATAAATTCACAGCTGGTCAGGACTAGGTGCAAACTAATTTTTTGCATATACCTTGTTGCAAATTGTTACTTCTCGTGAGTACATTTTGTCGTATGAACATGCAGCAAATTAATTTCGTATTGCTTATTCCAAAAATAACAATTTTAAGACTTGTTATTGTTGATAATAATATATTGCATGGAGTGTACATATCAGTAGGTAAATAGGCGACTAGATATCAAAGCTCTAAAATAACGCTGATTAAAAAGGGTCATCCTTGCTCTACGATAGTTGAAACTAAATTGGGTGTTTGGTAAAGGTATATGCTGTAACATGGCTTCAAAAACAGTCTTCAAAATGATATGCTGGGTCACCGAGCTTAGTGCTTTTCCTAAATGGCTTTTTCCACTCTAGAAACAAAGTTCATTTTCCGGCAAACCTATGTTAAACTCGCTAAATTATTTATAGCTGTGGTCAGTAATACCCTGCATAATCAATGCGTACGATCCCTTTGTGTTCAGGTGCTCTCTATGAGAATGCTCCGAAGCTATGATAGGAATATCTTTTCCCTGAATTGCCCCACAAAAGTTTTAAAACCTCTTAATGACTATCTTCAACCTTTCTGAGTTTTTTTAACCGATGCAAGCTACTGACATTAGTTGATGTTACAAAGTTTTCAACAACTCTTTTAAAGTATTTGAACTCATTAGTAGTTAATTTTCATATGACGTAATTTTCCTTCAAGTTATTTCCCTTGGCTACCATCTTGGAAAATCTTGGAAAATTTCGATGTTTTGAGCAACCAATTTTTAACATGTATAGCAGAAATATATTTGCAAAAATAAAAAAAAATAACTAATCTTGAGAATTGAAGAAACTTTTTCTTAACAAATATTCTCCTACTGGAAAACACAAGCAGATATTCCATTATGACCTGGCATCTTAAGATACACAATCGTACATTGTAGATTTTCCAAAAGAAGAAAGATTTCTAATTGTTCTATATTTCGATGAAAACGCCAACCAGTAAATGGCTACAGCTAACATTTTCTTTACAACCACGTCTCTTATACAGTATTCTAAATTTTTTGGGGGAACTTTTTTTTAATTTAGTGAATAAGATTAGTAAATTTTAAATTAAGATTTGTATAAGGCAATTGTCCTTTACAAATTTAATTGAAAAAAATGACATTTTTGTAGAGGACAGTATCAATTAATGGATTAGATTTTATTTTTTAGGGAACATCTAAAGTTAGTCCTGTATCCAAATAGTAAGAAAATACCATTTCCAAGAAAATTCACAATTCTGAATCAATTCATCCTCTGAAGTTGAATGTTAGATTTAATTTAAATTAAAAGATAATTTTAAGGATTTACTGATTGCATAGCAAATTAACTTAATTTATTTATATGTGTAAATTTAAACATATTAAGTAAATTTACACACACAAGCAATTTTCCATCGTACAATGCATGGATGGGGTTTAAGCCACTTTTTTTTATCTTTATGCAATAGTTAATACATGTAATAGTTCGAGATTTATCAAAAGCTTTGATAAATGATAAAACTTGATTTTCATTAGAAAGTCTTAATTTCCAGAGAAATGATTTGAATTCTTCCTTATTTGATATATCCGTGTGCATCTGCCTGTCACTAAACAACTTGTGTATTTTTTACATGATGTGTATATTCACATCAGAGCGGAGGTATAACTAGTGAGCATTGACTCAAAGACTTCTTGTTTAATATATGCAACATTCCTACATGGAATAAAAATTAAAAATGCTGAAGAATTGTATCGATCATTTCAATATTTGAAAATTGAAAAGCAATTCATATATCCATATGTTACTTTTCTTTGCATGTCACTGCAGTCTGTGAAATCATATATGGTCGGTTAGTACAGGGTAATCAAACGTTCATTTTATTCCATTACAACACAAGACAGTTGGTACATCTGAAATGATTTTTATCTGGAAATACAATGAACCTTTAGCATTTTGTGCCATTTCTTTTGCAGTTCTTTTCGCAAGTGGATGCTCTATTTAGCAGTACTCTTTATAAACAACTCCCTTTAAAGACTATGTATTAAGACAACTGATTCAAATGTTAAAAAAATATCAAAAATTCAATACCTATTATGAAAGACTGATGTTGTATCTAAATCAAATCTTTTTATTCTGGTCAAACACAATATCCTTTGTTTAAAATATTTTTTCTTTACATATTGGCCAAGAAGTATTAGATAAAGCCAATCAGTCAGTCAGAAAGCTTTATTAATTAAAAATCATAATATAATTAATCCTAAGATATAAAGAACGCAGATATTTTAAAATTTCCTCATTAATGACACAGTCGTCCTAAACGAAAAAATGTGCAGTATTGTTAAGGCTGAAAAAGAGGGACGGGGCCTTATTTATACGGGAAAAGTCTACTGTGACGTCAGATAAAAGTAAAAAAAATTAATTTTATCGTGTTTTTATGTACAGGTTAAGTATATTTTATATCGAGATGCCTCATTAAATTGTTCTGTCGCAAGGACATACACTATATAGATCTAAACCATTTATTTGAATATAAGTAAAGGATATATTCCTTAACTTGAAAAGTGCTGCTGCTCTCTTTAAATCGAGAGCGTGACTTTATAAGTATACAAAATATTTTGTAAAAGTCAAGCATATTTCGACATAGGCCAATTTACTTGAAATTTTATTTTTTAAAACGCGAATTCCATTCAAAGCAGCAGCACTTGAATTTTTAATTTCAACCTGGGTGTGCCTTTGTGAAATTGAAATTTCTTAATGACCCATACACGTACTATACATTCTCCACTTGACTGTCCATCGATGGGACCATACTTCATACTGTACAGATTGGGTTATGCTATCCTATTTTCATAAGTATTGAAGTTATGTGATAATAACACAGCTATATAAAAGTAAATTCAGTTTTAAACACATTCCCGTTTTTGCACTTCTACTTTCCTTTGATTTCTCATAGTTAGCCTTAACAGTGCTGCGAGAGCAAGGTATTTACATAACAGTATTGCATTGTTTTTTTTTTGTTTTTTGTTTTTTTTTTATTCAGAAAATGAAAGTTTGGTTGAACCTGAAGGACAGCTTCGTAGGAGACAATGCCCAAAGAAGCAGGGGTATACTTGCTCTCAAGTATCCAATCGAACACGGCATCGTCACTAATTGGGACAACATGGAGAAAATTTGGCATCACACTTTCTACAATGAACTCCGTGTTGCCCCAGAGGAACACCCTGTTCTATTAACCGAAGTTCCTTTCAACCCCAAGGACAACCGAGAAAGAATGACACAGATTATGTTTGAAACATTTAATATCCCAGCCATGTACGTCGCTATCCAGGCAGTTCTTTCTTTACATGCATCCGGTCGTAAAACTGGAATCGTTCTGGATTCTGGGGATGATGTTACTCACGTAGTACCCATTTATGAGGGTTTTGACCTTCCGCATGCTACTATTAGATTTGATATTGCTGGACGCGATCTGACCGGTTACCTTATGAAAATCCTCACAGATCGTGGTGACTCTTTCACAAAAACAGCTGAACTAGAAACTGTCAAAGACATAAAAGAGAAATTGTGCTACTTTGCCCTTGACTTTGAACAAGAAATGACAACATCTGCGACCTCGACCTCCCTGGAGAAGAGCTACGAACTTCCTGATGGTCAGTTCATTACCATCGGAAACGAGCGATTCCGATGTCCAGAGGCCATGTTCAAACCATCTTTACTAGACTTGAAATCTTCTGGTATACATGAAATAACAAACAACAGCATTTTGAAATGCGACGTTGATATCCGTAAGGATTTGTACGCTAATACAGTTTTGTCTGGGGGTTCAACCATGTACCCAGGTATTGCCGACCGTATGCAGAAAGAAATCACTGCCTTGGCTCCGTCCACAATGAAGGTTAAGATCATCGCTCCACAAGAGAGGAAATACTCTGTCTGGATGGGTGGTTCTATTCTTGCTTCCTACTCCACCTTCCAAGAGATGTGGATCAGCAGGCAAGAATATGACGAATTTGGTCTTTCCATTGTACACAGAAAGTGTTTCTAGAGGCTCTTTAAAGTTTACGTTCATTTAATATACATCTTTTACTTATGTTATTTCTAAATGAAAAATCAATAAACTTTTTTATAGATAAATATCATATTTTTTCTAATGTTTTTATTAACGAAAAAATAGAGAACCACATAATTGCGTTATTGTACACTACAGAGAGTGCTAAACGATAAGATAAAACAATTTATTTTAATATTAGACTAAAAAACAAACAAATGCATTAAGAGTTATACTATGCTCCAAAAAAGGTACAATTCAAAATACCCCCTCCACCTAATTTGAAAATATATGTAATAACGGAAGACTACTGAAAATAGAATGGAACTTAAGTTGAGTTTAATCAATCTTTACAATAACCTACTATGAGAGTTGTGTATGCTCTGTAAGTCTCAATATATTACAAGTTTATCTAATGGGCTTTTTTCAAATACTTCTCTATATCACAACGAACAGAAATATTCTTTTGTCACTTTTCACTTACCCCCCGTTCACACAGAGTTGCGACTCTACGGCGATCACCCCGATCAAGCCACGATGTGAAATTTTTTTGGATCGGGGCAGATAGCAGCCGATCAGCGTCTTTATAGAGTAGTTTGGCAAATTGTGGTCTTCGTTACGACAGTACTACGATGTCCCTACGTCAAACGCGCTGCTAACACGCTTCTACTACGATGTTATGCTGACCGTTGCCGACAAGCGGCCGTGTTTACTGCGTTTACGCTACGCTGCCACTAAGACATTGAAGACCACACTACGACGCTACACAGACCTAGATGACTGTACTGCGATGTCGCTACGGTGATGCCGATCATATTACGTTTGCATTACGCTTCTAGTACAATTTTGGCGTTGATGTAAATATATCTTGCAACCACAGATTTTAGTAGTACGATTTTAGCGATGATGCATATCTTGCGACCGCAGTTTGTTTTGGGCCTTTACCATATGGTTTAAGGGCAATTTCAATTATAACTGTAACAAGATGTGAAAATGCTCAATTGTAAATGATCATCAAGTATAGTGTCACCCTTTATATGTAGTTTACAGATGATGATTGGTCAAATATCAGCGCTATAAGAACAAACTCCTGTCTGAGAGGTCGTGATATGATCGGCGTAAGGTCATAGTAAGTCTTCATAGGATCTTCAGGAACGTAGAGAGATCACAGTGAGAACGTAGTACGAACGTAGAGGGAGCGTTGTATAAGCGTGCTTGGTAAGTTCCTTCGCTCTTACGGCGTTTTTACTACGATCATGAAGATCTCTCTACGATGCTTCCGCGCTGCTTGTACTATTACGGAGCTTCTACTACGCTCTTTTTACGACTTCACCCCGATTCTTGTCGGCCACTATCCCGCTACGCTTGTTTTGAACATGTTTAAAATAAGCGTAGTGAGAGCGTCAAGCTCTCCGAGCATGATGACTCTACTGCGATCATACTACGCTTATGAGACCCCACGACGTTTCTCCTGCGATTTGTCACGATCGGCCACGCTTTTGGACACGATTTGAGCGTAGTAGAAGCGGAGTCTATGTGTGCACGGGGGGTAACAATGCACTCGCTAGAATGCTCAGTCATATTTGCATGCAATTTAATAAAGGTTTTGACAAAGTACTTATGATTGATGTTCAAATAATAGTTGCAAAGTGTTACTAATTCATATAAAATAACGTTTACTTAGGAATAGCAAAGGCAGATGTCCGGCGAACCTATGTGCAATGAAATTCTGTGCCGTTACTATAAAGAAGCAATAAATATGCATACGGGAGTAACTACATGCGTGTTTAATGTAAATAAGTTACGCATTTTGCAGATGTACGCCTTTGATATTATTTTCAGAATTGTGGAGTCACACAATTTAGCAAACCCTTTAAAAATTCAACCAAAATAATGCAATAAAAACTCTCTCCTGAACAATTGTCGGAAAAATGTCTAATTACGTTCCCCAAACGGAGTTTGGGAACATATTGTTTTTACTCGGTTTCTTATTATTATTATTATGTTCCCCAAACGAAGTTTGGGAACATATTGTTTTTACTTTTTCTGAATTTTTTCTCCGGTACTTTTTTGTCCGCGAGTGTTCTCGTAAACTACTCATCCGATCTAGGTGAAACCTTTTTAGGGTCACTAGGTATGTTATGTAGATGTGCGGAACGAAGGTCATTTTGCGCGCACGTGCGTGCAGGTGCGCGCACGTGTAACACGTGAAATGACCAATATAATAGATTTAGCCGTAACTTTTTAAATATTGGATGAAATGCTTTGAAACTCATAATATAAGGATATAATAGTAGTATAGACATGATGACATGGTCAAAATAGCAAGATCTCACGCGCATGCAGGTGCCCTTCTCTGCGATTGGCTGAAACTTAAAGTCTAAATATCTATTTTGTTTTCTGACAAAATCCTTTGAAATTTTGAACATAGTCTTACATTATGAAGATCTACAGCATGATATATAAGAATAATCATGAACGCACGCACATGCACGTGTGCTGCAATCTGATTGGCTAAAACTTTAAATGCCTACAACTTTCTTGGTTCTCAATAATACAGGGTGAAATTTCAAATATGAATAGATATAATGATTGCCTACATTATACTACTATCAAAAGTAAATACATGGACGTGCATGCACATGCGACCGCACACAATGTATTAAAAGACAGTATACTTGAGTGTTTGATGTTCATGCAGAATTAAGAACTTCTAAATGTCAAGACATGTAACATACTGAAGCATGCAGATCTTTTTACCCTTGACCTTGAAACTTAGGTCAAGGTCACTGGTAACCTGAATAAAATGTTGATATTAACTATTTACCAAAATCACCTTGACCTATGAACTTGAAATCGACCTTAACCTTTGTCCTAGACCCAAGGGTAAAAAGAAACATGAAGTACATGTACATGTATCTAGAAACACCTTTCAGAGTTTATTTCGGTTGACAGGTTAGAAGTTAAAGAGGTGGTAGTTTTTAATGACCTTGACCTTTCATCCAAATGTCACAATCAATCTTAAGTTCTTGGAATAAGATACAAGATTCAACTCCAACGTTAAATAGGTTAAGAATAAAAATAACACCCCCCCCCCCACACACACACAAACAAATCAAATTAATGGCAACGTAGAGAATCACTGTTAAACTCAAATAACACCTCGGACCCACATAAAATTTCAGGAAAACTGCAGAAAAGAGCTCGAGGAAAGTGTATTAAAATATTTCATTTGAGTTTCCAAAGTATATAGAAATTATTAATTTATACAGAAAAAATTACAAATCCTGTCGTGTTTAAAATTAAAGTGCAGATGACCAAAGTTGGCATATAAGCCTTTTATAGCCTATTTATTCAGATGTCGTTAATAGCATTCGATTCTACTGATTTGAAATAATATTTTAATACCAAGCATCCTTTGTTTAATTTACCTTTGAAATTTATTTGAATTTTTTTTTAGAATTACGCAATCCCCAGAAATAGCGATTTTCGGTATATTAAAAAAATCAATATACATGTACGCTCCTTCGTAAAATAATCAGATATTTGCATTCATGAAAAAAATATTAATAAGAAGGTGTTAAACAATATAGGTCACATTAGCTGACACGAATGTCTTTTTAAACATCTCTTGTAAAACCCAGAGCGTAGCCCCCTATGCACTGGAAAAAAATGAATAGTTCCGGTCAAAAAACCTTTATATATTTATTTACAAAGTATATAAAATTTACCAGGCACGGGTATCAGAGTTGTCAAAATGGCCTGAGAGGAAATATTAAAAAAAATTCTGAACAGAAAGGAAAATCCCTTTTCCATGTATGGAACTACTATTGAATATAACCAACCCCGAGCCCGATCTTAAAAACACGGTAGTAGAAAATTAGAATTTTGCTGTTTTATTAATTTTTTTGCTTTTAACTTCTTTTCTTGAAGCCAAATGATATGAAAACACTCAAGAAGGTGCAAAGACTTCATATTGTTATCTGAATTAAAATCAAAATTGTAATCTGAACAATTAGTCTCCTTATTATGTTCCCCAAACGAAGTTTGGGAACATATTGTTTTTACTTTTTCTGAATTTTTTCTTTGTTCTCCGGTACTTTTTTGTCCGCGAGTGTTCTCGTAAACTACTCATCCGATCTAGGTGAAACCTTTTTAGGGTCACTAGGTATGTTATGTAGATGTGCGGAACGAAGGTCATTTTGCGCGCACGTGCGTGCAGGTGCGCGCACGTGTAACACGTGAAATGACCAATATAATAGATTTAGCCGTAACTTTTTAAATATTGGATGAAATGCTTTGAAACTCATAATATAAGGATATAATAGTAGTATAGACATGATGACATGGTCAAAATAGCAAGATCTCACGCGCATGCAGGTGCCCTTCGCTGCGATTGGCTGAAACTTAAAGTCTAAATATCTATTTTGTTTTCTGACAAAATCCTTTGAAATTTTGAACATAGTCTTACATTATGAAGATCTACAGCATGATATATAAGAATAATCATGAACGCACGCACATGCACGTGTGCTGCAATCTGATTGGCTAAAACTTTAAATGCCTACAACTTTCTTGGTTCTCAATAATACAGGGTGAAATTTCAAATATAAATAGATATAATGATTGCCTACATTATACTACTATCAAAAGTAAATACATGGACGTGCATGCACATGCGACCGCACACAATGTATTAAAAGACAGTATACTTGAGTGTTTGATGTTCATGCAGAATTAAGAACTTCTAAATGTCAAGACATGTAACATACTGAAGCATGCAGATCTTTTTACCCTTGACCTTGAAACTTAGGTCAAGGTCACTGGTAACCTGAATAAAATGTTGATATTAACTATTTACCAAAATCACCTTGACCTATGAACTTGAAATCGACCTTAACCTTTGTCCTAGACCCAAGGGTAAAAAGAAACATGAAGTACATGTACATGTATCTAGAAACACCTTTCAGAGTTTATTTCGGTTGACAGGTTAGAAG